TGGAAAGCAGTCTACACTGTCCCACTGACTGCCCTGAATGGTGGAAAGCAGTCTACACTGTCCCACTGACTGCCCCGAATGGTGGAAAACAGTCTACACTGTCCTACTGATGTGCAGCATCCTTCAGCTTCCTGCCAAACTGCCTTTGGAAGGATTGGAGTAGGTTTGAGCAGTTAGCAGACACCTCTGTGGAAGCAGGATGAGGCTGAGTCTTCATCTCTGGCTCCCAGGGATTTCTCAGATGTTGAGGCTTTGTACCCATGAGCTTATCCAGACTGCTCTGTCTATTGCTGCTCTTATAGGGATGAAATCCTACTGCTACTTTGGGTCCAGGTCCAAAGAAGCAGCAGTGTGTGTTATACGTCCTGGCTCTTGGGGAGATGGCCACTCAGTTTTTTAAAAAAGACATGCTTGTAGCAAGCACAGCCCCATGAGGACACTGGTTGATCGTCCTCCTTAGCACCCTCTGAGATGGATGATTCAGACTACATTGTACTTGCTGGCGTAAGTCTGACTCGAAAAACGGTTCTCAACCTTCCTAATACTGTGGCCCTTTAATACAGTTCCTTATGTTGTGGCGACCCCAACCATAAAATTATTGTCATTGCTACTTCATAACTGTAATTTTGCTACTGTTAGGAATCATAAATATCTGATATGTGATTTCGAGGGGTTGCAACCCACAGGTTGAGAACCACTGCTCTAAAGGTTGCCCCCCCCCCCCCCCCCCCCCCGAGTCCCTGCTTTCCTGGTGGGTGCCTGTGACCTGGCTGGTGTTGAATCCTCAGGGCTGGGAACTGGCTGATCTTGCCTCCCCAGATGTCTGCTTCTTGGCTCAGAGTCTGAGACCTAATGTGTGAGGCAGGGGGACTACATACATGAACACAGGGTAGCCACTGCCCCCAGTCTGCAGAAGGGACAGGGCAGAACAAGGCCAGGATTGGAAATGGGACTGTTATCTTTTTCTACTGTGCTCTCTTCCCAAACTGGAGGCCTAGCTACCCACTAGGCAGTATGGACCTGGGCATTCCTCCCGCCTCAGCCTCCTGAACACTGAGATTTATATATGTGCCTGGCTTAAAAAGGCAAATGTGAAACGAAGAACAAATCTGTGAGTTCTGTGTTGGGGACCAGATAGGTTTGTGCTGTTTTATGACTCCTTGTCTTGCCATCCGTCTGCACCCACAGGAATTCTGTTAGTGCTTCCTGTCAGCTCTTTAGGAAGCCTTCCCTGAGGCAGGTGTGACCTACCAGAATGGAGTTTAAACTTTTCACTGACTGGGCGTTTTATAAGCAGGTGCCATCCTCGATTGCCATCTCCACTAACGCCCATAGGTAGAATCTGCCTGGATTGTGGTCATGGCCGGATGCCAGGCAGGAGCGCGGGGCTCACTTGGGTTGGGCTGGCAGTGTGGGCCTGAGTCAAGTCAACCTGTGAGCTTTACACTTAAGTGAGGCTCAGTGGCCAAGCCCTGCTGCTCCAAGGGTGGAGCTAGGAAACACTTATTTTCATAAGTTTTAGTTAAGAAAAAAAGTGTCTGAATATTGTTCCCACTGTTGAGGGGAAGAGATGTACTTTTGAGTCACTAATTTCATTATGTTATTCTCCATGGCTTAATCTGGCCTTACAGTATGATAGCTATAAAAGCTTGCTTTTGGGATTATTCCCCAAGAAATCGATAAACTTCAATAAAGTAAAATAAATTTCAGTGTCTACGGCAGGGGATGGTTAGGATGGCTTACCATTATAAATCCAGTGTAGCCAAGCAGTGCTGAGATACTGGTGGGGAGAGCACACACAGCAGTAACACTGAGTGCAGCTCAAGTTCAAGACTGAAAAAGAACCGACCCGAACATTCTGTCCAGGGCCAACCCGGGGCCCAGCTGCCCATCCTGTAAAGCCCAACAACTTGGAGGCTTTGGTGAGATTGTCCTACTGATCAACCTATTCAGCTGAGACCCATTCGAGAGGTTTCAGAAGCCGGCAGCCTTCAGTCTGAGAAACCAAGATCAACTGAGGAGTTGGCGAGCGAGCAAAATGTGACCTGAGAACGCAAGAGAAGGAGCCACCCAGCCACCGAACCAGATCACTAGAATCATAAGCCCACCCTATACCGACTAGGAACGGGTAAGGCCCCATCTCCGGACTGGCAGACCAGGTCTCTAGCCCCTAGGCCTGAGCCACCAGAACCCCACGGACCAGGCAGCTACCTTTCCCTGCTCCTTCACAAAACAAAACAAAACAAAAAACCCCCCCAGCCCCTGCGAATCCAACAACCACTGGAGCCATAAGCCCACCCTGCACCAATTGGGAACAACTGCTCCCTGAGACAGAACCCACTAACACTGATTGGACTAAGCTGCTCCTGGAGAAACAGCCCAACAGCACTGATTTGACCAAGAACTTCTAGTGGATCAAGATTATCAATTAGAACAAGAGAGGCACCTTCAGACACAGACACCTCCGTTCTGCACCAAGTGGAGGAAGAGATGAGTAGACGCCAGTGCAAAAATACAGGCAACAACATACAGACCTATATGACAACATCAGAACCTAATGATTCTACACCTGCAAGACCTGAACATACCAATGCAGAAGAAGCAGAAGAAATCAATCCTAAAAAAGACTCTAAGAAGATGATAGAGGTCCTTAAAGAGGAAATGAAAAACTCCCTAAAATAGGAAATAAAAAATTCCCTTAAAGAAATGGAAGAAAAAACCAAGCAAAAAATTGGAAGAAATAAAAGAAAACCAAGAAAAAGTAATTAAACAGATGAAGGAAACAGTTCAAGATTTGAAAATTGAAATCGAGACAGTAAAGACACAAACTGAGGGAATGCTGGAAATAGAAATTCTGACTAAACGAACAGGAACTACAGATGCAAGCATAACCAACCAAATGCAAGAGATGGAACAGAGAATCTCTGATGAAGACACAATAAAGAAAATACATTCATCAGTCAAAGAAAACATTAAAGCCAAAAAAAGTCGTAACACAAGACGTCCAAGAAATTTGAGACACCATGAAAAGACCAAACCTAAGAATAATAGGGATAGAAGAAGGAGAATACCAACTCAAAGGCACAGAAAATATATTCAACAAAATCATAGAAGAAAACTTTCCTAACCTAAAGAAAATACCTATGAAGATACAAGAAGCTTACAGAACACTAAATATCCAAAAAAAGTCCCCATGCCA